ATGAACTGCTTGAAGGGGGACCCTGACATTTTGGTGATGTTTTGGGAGTGGGAATCAGGGGACCCTGACATTTTGGGAGGAGGGGGCGTCTCAGTCCGTCCAAGGCTCTTGACAAACTCCCTCCACCCCTTGCCAAGCCTGTCAGGGAGGAAGCCTGAATCAGCGGCTTAATCATCATCCCCGGGTCCAGCCCACAGAGGCAGCTGAAGCTCTCTTCCTCGTCCCTGGCACTCTCGGATGGAAGCAGGAAGCGGAGCCATAAAAGGACAGCGGCAGCAGCTTATATAACCAGCGGAGAAAAGAGGAACCCCTTTCGGGCGGCAGAGTTTCCCCATCCGGAACGCCAACCCGTCATGCTGATGGAGGGCTGGGATGACAGGCGTGGTGATGATGATGCTGATCCATGACTAGGATGGGCTGGGGGAGAGATTCTTACCAAGCAAGGTTGGAGGATTATGTAACTGGGGGGGGGGGAATGACATGCCCAGGAGCCAGGGACACCTTCCCAAAAATCATCATGTCATCGCCTTTGTCTCTCTCCTGGGGGGAACCGGAGGATTAAAAATAACAAGGCAGATGAGCGGGGGCTCTTTGGGTCTCCCCGGTGCTCTCCCTGGGGAATCGGGTTGTGGGGTGATGCCGTGAAGGTTAGACCCAGGGGGATCTGCTCTGAAGTTTTGATGTTATTTATTTATTTATTTATTTATTTATTTATTTACTTACTTACTTACTTACTTACTTACTTACTTATTTATTTATTTTTGAGGGACGGCAATCTTTCAACTTGAGGCTTCTGGCACTTTATTTAGTGACGGCTGTCTTTGACGAACTTATGTATAAAAGTGTGTGATGCCTTTTTTGGAAGGAGGTCAAAAATAGAATGATTTTGTTCTCCAGGTTTGAAGACGGATGTGACAAATGTGTGCGCGTGTGTGCATGAGTGTGTGTGCATGTGTGCACATGCGTGTGCAAAGTTTGGCATCCCTGAGTGGACTGTTGTTGTTTAGTCATTAACTCATGTCTGACCCATGGACCAGAGCACACCAGGCCCTCCTGTCTTCCACGGCCTCCCAGAGTTGGGTCAAATTCATGTTGGTTGCTTCAATGACACTGTCCAGCCCTCTCGTCCTCTGTTGTCCCCTTCTCCTCTTGCCTTCACACTTTCCCAACATCAGGGTCTGAGTGGAGTGTACCTTTCTGCAAAGCATCCTGTTGATAAATCTGTGCTACTTTTGTCTGTCAGAAATATAGAAATGAAGGATGTTTGTTCCTCTACTTTTCCAGTTTTCGTTGTGTTGGTAGGTGCTCAAGATAGAACAATCATTCTCAGTGGGGACCGTATGACCCCTGTGGGGCCCTACAGGATATTTGAGGAGGGCTGCCAGACAAGAAACAGTTCTTCACAAGCCGTCTTATAAAGTTCGTTGGTTGACTTAAACAACCCTGATTTGGCCTATATTTCTTTCATGTTGTGTTTATGTCCCAAGCCAAAAAAAGGAGGTTAAAAATAGCTACTGTAGAGCAGAACTGGATTTAAACACACACACATACTTGCACACGCAAACACACTCATACACATTTTTAACCCCTTCTTCTACAATTAGCTCATTCGTTTAGTCGTGTCCGACTCTTCGTGACCCCATGGACCAGAGCACGCTAGGCCCTCCTATCTTCCACTGCTTCCCGTAGTGGTGTCATTTTCATGTTGGTCGCTTTGATGACCCTGTCCAACCCTCTCATCCTCTGTCCTCCCCTTCTCCTCTTGCCTTCACACTTTCCTAACATCAAGGTATTTTCCAAGGAGTCTTCTCTTTTCTTGAGATGGCCAAAGTTAGCTACTCACACCCAAAATAATTATGATTCCTAGCTCTAGCGCAGAGCTGCCTAACAATGGCCTTTCCAAATTCTTCTATTCGTAGGTCAGGGGACTATGTCACTCGATTTCTCCGGGTGTGGAAATTCTGCCTCTGTTTCTCATGGATGAGCCTCACCCTTAGCAGTGATGTAGCACCGCTCTTTTATTGGGTTTCATTAGCAGTCCGAGTTCCACTTTGCACTCCTCCCATAACATGCTGGACTGAGCATTCAGTTCCCCCAAGGCATTGTGGGAAGAAAATGCTGCCTTCTGCCTACATACAAAGGCAAGAAATGCACAGAGTACATTCTGGAAAGTCTTTATCCTCTGGGATTCTGGTTGTGGAGCAACATGGTCAAGGGTTTGCTGGAAATCAAGGTGCCTTCTCATAAGTTTCTATAAACCAGGTAAATTGCATGATAGCTTACAAAGAATTGTCCTCAGTTAGGATCTACTAACTAGACAACATGTAACTATAGCTGGCTGAATAGCTCACTGGAGTGAGGCATCTGACTGCAAAGTCAAAGGTTAAGAGTTTGATTCCCCACCACACATCTCTGGTGAAGAACCAACCTTTCAAAAAGATGAATGGTGATTCCGGGGCATCCCCAGAAGAAAGGAATGGTGAGCCATTTCTGAACATTCTATACTCTACTAACTAGACAACATGTAACTATAGCTGGCTGAATAGCTCACTGGAGTGAGGCATCTGACTGCAAAGTCAAAGGTTAAGAGTTTGATTCCCCACCACACATCTCTGGTGAAGAACCAACCTTTCAAAAAGATGAATGGTGATTCCGGGGCATCCCCAGAAGAAAGGAATGGTGAGCCATTTCTGAACATTCTATACCTTGCCAGGTAGGTGGGGCTCGTCAGCCATGGAAGGCAGCCCATCGGGGCATCCCCAGAAGAAAGGAATGGTGAACCGTTTCTGAACGTTCTACACCTTGAAGACCTCGGAAGAGGTTGTCATAAATTGGAGCTGACTTGATGGCCAAAAAAAAAAAGGAGTCCCGAAGGCAGCTCGTGTCGTTCTGCCAACTCCTGCGACATTGCTAGAACCAGTTGTATTGGCTCTTGCCTTTCCATTGGACCATTTCAGCAATGTGGAGAGGGGGGATCTGCTGCTTGGGTAACAGCCTATCCTCCATATTACCTTACCCAGGCTTCATGCTCTGGAGAGGACACTCCTCGATTCAGAGCATGTTACCATAGTCTCTCGAGACTGAAGGATGCCTATGCTATACCTTGAAGACCTCAGAAGAGGTTGTCATAAATTGAAACTGACTTGATGGCCAAAAAAAAAAACCCTGTATTTATTAATTTTTTCAAAGAGAGAAAAAGAAAAGAAAACCCTCAGATTTTTTTTTAGGAAAGAGAAAATGTTTTGCAAAGCTCTAACTGAATTAAAGATGGTGCTGTCTTATGAACGTACAGACGCTGATGTCTCCCAGCAAATGGAATGATGCGTTTGGCGATGCACCCGGATAAACTCTTTGGAAAGACTGAGCATTCTGAAATACTGATAGAGGGATCGCCTTGGGGCTAAAGGGGCTTTTCTCCTGGATGCTTCTTCAACTGCCCTCTGACTCCGGACCCAGCTTGCATCGCTGGTTTGGAGAGGGCAAAACTAGCGCAGGCTGGAAGCCACCCATGGTCTGTGATCCAGAGAGGGAAAAGCCCCTTGCTCTAGGAAGTGCACAAACCTGTTCCTCCTCACCCTGCGATGGTGAGGTGGGTCTATTTGTTCTGATTTGGCTCAGTCTCACAGAGGACTCGTGCGTTTGTGAGACTGGCTCTTGCGGCTTCTGTAAAACTTAAAATCCTGTGAAAACCTAGAATCACAGAATTGGAAGGGAGCCCACAAGGCCATCGAGTCCAACCTCCCGCTCAAGGCAGGAATCAAATCTAAGCAGATCTGACTGATGGGTGTCTAACTTCCTCCAGCATGGAGACGCTCACCACCAGCGGTCCAGTGGCTGTCTCCTTGTTGCACAGACTGTTCAAAAAACAAAAAAGCATCAGATGGATTGTTTGCATCTGTCTTGGCCACCTGACCCTCCATGTGTGTGTGTTTAGGTACGTATGTGTATGCACACGTGTGTGCGTTCCCATATATGTTTTGCTTCATAGAAAATGTTTTGTTGCAACCTGCCCAAGCGACAATGAAGGGAGAAGCCCTTGATATTTAAGTTTCATGCTGGGAGTGAGATCTCCTGCCAGGATTTTAGCATCCTTGACAGGCTGTTCTTGTCAGATTGGACAACCAGTTTCAAGCATAAATGAGACCCTGGCAAGCTTTCTTCATGTCCTGGGCATCCAGCTGGCATCTCTCCTCCAGCAGATGACCAGTAACCCTGACATTGGTCTGCTTGGCTTCCTTGAAGGTGGTGAGTTCACCAAAGCCAAGACAGTAGCCCTGTGTGTGTTCGTGCGTGTTGGAGTTTTTA